TTTTTTCGACAAAAATACCTTCCTAGATAAAATCACTTTCTTTGAAGACCAAACAGTCCATCCGAGACTATAAAACATACAAAACTTCTTAAGATACGTATCATTCGCGAAGGTCCAAGAAACGGAAACATCTACCACCTAAGTTTCTTGCTGATCACAACAAACTCGCTACAGTCCTAAACAAACTTAAGTTATCTTACAGAGATAGCTCTCGTACACCCGACACAAGGGTAATAGCGCTATAAGAAATCCAAAGTTTGGTCAGCACATTCGGGGATGCTCGATTCCGACCAGACAAGTCGAACAAGCCGAGAACTTATCGCGGACTTTAAATCGGTAGGGAATCAGGTTAAAATCGTAACAGGCAAAACGAAAGCTGATTAGTCAACACAAAGCCTTAAAACCAAACATAAACCTAGGTTTTACCCTAAACCCAGCACACTGGTCTTTAACGTCTCAAGGCATGAAATGAGATCCTAAAGGCATGAAATGAGATCCTAAAGGCATGTCTCTTCGTCCATATCTAAACGCTCACGAGATTCTAAACATCCTAAAACGAGCAAACAAATAGGGTGATCTATAAAAACGATTTTGACTATGAGATGACAACTCATATTCTTCCCTCCAAATTCATAAGAATACAAACTTGCTCTCAAAAAAGCAAAACACAATTTAAAATACGGCCGCAATGCGGCACAGACTCGAAGCTACATACGACCAGTCCAAAAATATAATGGCCACACTTGGTCAAAGCAAACAGCCTACGAGGCAAGTCTCAAGTCTGATACAAAACACCATCGATATCACCATGTTCCATAATCTCTACGCATCACTAGACTGTAAAGGTCTCACTAGAAAACAAGTCGTACGAACCTTAACTCTAAGACGAAATACGAAAAGCTTGATCCCTTCAAGACGGTATGTAGGTAGCCTTCACTAGGCGCAACCCCATTCGTACCGCTTTCCATTCCAATAAGAGTGGGAAGACCACTTTCAATGGAACTTTTCAACAAGAAATTCCGCCTAAAATTTCCTAAAATTGTCTAACCACTCGCTAGAACCTCACGCTAGAAGTTCAAGGTTCTAACAAGCTAGGGGGCTAACTGTTGGGGTCAAAATCGGTCACAACGGAATCAATGGCTAAAAGTCCGAGAAAAAGCATACAAGAAAACTCTAGACTTTCTACGGAGAAACGAAGTTACGGAAAACTCGTATCAAAGTATGAAATAATTAAAAAGACCTCTTGTTGAGGTCAAAAACAATAGTCTCAAAAGCAACATCTACGATTACTTCTGTTTATGTTCTCCGAAAGAATCTCGGGTCGAGAAGACAAGAAACGACCGAAGCTTGACGAACCAATCTAGTTCACCGGCTTGGCGAGCTGACCAAGACCGATCAGCTCGCCAAGACGGAGAGCTGGACGGACCTATCCAGCTCGCCGGCTTGGCGAGGTAACCAGGACCGATCAACTCGCCAAGACGGCGAGCTGGACGGACCAATCCAGCTTGCTGGCTAGGCGAGGTGACCAAGGCCGATCAGCTCGCTAAGACAGCGAGCTTGATGGAACAATCCAGCTCGCCGGCTTCGCCAGCTGACCAAGGCCGATCAGCTCGCCAAAACGGCGAGCTGGACGGACCAATCCAGCTCGACAGCTGACCAAGACCGATCAGCTCGTCAAGACGGCGAGCTGGACGAACCAATCCAGGTCGCTGGCTTGGCGAGTTGAATAAGCAAGATCAGCTCGCCAAGACGGCGAGCTGGACAGAACAATCCAGCTCGTCAGCTTGGCAAGCTGACCAAGGCCGATCAGCTCGCCAAGACGGCGAGCTGGACGGACCAATCCAGCTCGCCAGCTTGGTGAGCTGACCAAGACCGATCAGCTCGCCAAGACGGTGAGCTGGCCAGGCCAATCTAGCTCGCTGCCTTGGCGAGCTGCTCGAGACCGACTCGTCGACTTGGCAAGTTGGCCTTACCGTCCGGATCGTTGACCTCTGGTCGGCCGAACACATGGCATATGCCCTTTGACTCGATCATACTATGAGTCGTGGTTGGAACATCTCTCGTTCCGTCTTGATCCGTATTGTCCTTGGGACTTTACGATAAAAACCGCTAAAGACTTGTTTTCTCTTAAAGACGCGAGTAAACCGTATAAAACAGCAAAAATTAAAAAAAACACCGAAGATTACCAAACTAAACGATTGACTCGAGGTGTTTTATAAAAACGACATCGTACCATGGAACGATCTTGTGTAAAATTGTTAAACGGCTAAAACGCAAAATGGTCCTAAAGATCCTAAAACGCGATAAAGGCCCAGTAACGACTTTGGACGAAATCCAGCCCAAAGATATGGAGACGGTTTACCCATTATTCGCAAGAATAGATAAATGTCAAATTTGGAGGTAAAACAGAAGTTTTCCAAAGATAAATATGAAGACCGAGATAAATGAAAGATTTTTGATAGACACGAATCGGGCGGAAAAGGAAAGACCAAACCGCCTAGAGGAAGAGTATATAAGCACAAGGTCAAAGCCAAGAAGAAAAAGAATTTTGACAACTCTTTTAGACTTAGAACTCTCTGCACTTAGAAACTTAGGCTTTATTCTCGACAAGTTTGGTTTCTATGATTGGCACTCAATTACTAGACAAACTCGCCATGCCAGTTCGGTCTCTTGCCCAGCTCTATTAATTGAACTACTTTCGGCTTGATCCTCGAAAGGGGTACGTAGGCAGCCTTTTATAAGGTCCAGTCTGAAGTCAATCAAAACCCTTTTTCATATCTTTTTCGTCTTTTGTTATCGAGCTGCGACTCAACTAGGTTTAAGGTTTTCCATTGCTAGAACTATATAACTCGCTAACAGCTCTTGCGGCCAAAGATTTTGTAATCTCTTGTAATAATCGCAACGATCTTATACAGATTCGAAATAAGATCTACTTTCTTTATAAATTCGTTTTATCATGTTTTTTCGTATTTTCTGCATTTATTTGGTTACTTGTCGTTGGCTCTCTCAAAGATATGGGACCTCTGGAAAGTTGGGATTTTCCTAAGTTTCCTTATTTTACGGAAAATCGACAGTGCGAATTTCGGTTCCCACACTCATAGATTAAATCATCACTAAAAATAATTATATTGAAATATGTATTATGAATTTTGAAGTGTTATATAATGTTACTTTTATAATTATATAAATTTTATTACTAATATTTTCAATTTTCTCTATCTTTTTTAAAAAAAAAATTAATAAATTTTTAGTCTTAATATCATTAGTTTCTTTTAGATAACGACAAATTTTATCAATATTGTTTAGTTATAACTTTTAATAACTATACAGTTTATATATGATTGTTCTTAGTAATTTTATACAAGTTGATTTAATACTTATAACCAAAAAGATAAAATTTTCTAAATTCGAGTTTTAAATATATTACATATATCTTATTAAATATAATTTAAAAGAAACAAATTTATTTTTTTCTTAATTTTCTAATTAACTAAATCAAATTTATATTCAATATTAGTTAAAAAAATAAACTGTATAATATTAATAAATTTATTTTAAATATAATTGAACATTTAAAAATTGTATTATTACACATGGTTATAGGGGGCGAATCCAAGTCTTTTATTAATATGAATTAGGTGCTAACCCGCACGAATGCGCATATAAGCTTTTTATATTAATGTTTGTTCATTAAATGGATTTAACATTTTACAACACTATAATAGTTATCGATTGGAAAATGATAAATACAATTTTTTGATATCTTAAATTATCATAGTGTAGAGCGAAACATATAAGAATTCAAGCATCTCTCGTAGTTTGATGGTGGCGCTAGGGCTTCAGGCGTTCGAGATGGCGATTCTCAGCTTCACCCTTTCCTGATCTGGATCCAGCATTACGGCGTTCTCTAACCTGCTCTTACTGCACAAGGCTTCTCTACTTCTCACTGCACAAGGCTCCTTCTCACTGGTACAAGACGATCCCTTGGCGTGGGTCTCACGATATCCATTGTCGCATCCCTTCGATCCCTTCGACCCTTCGATTTCTCTGATCATGATGTGCGCTTCCCATTGATGATCAGTCCACGATCACTTGTCCTTCCTTTGAAAGATTCATCCTTCATATCGATATATCCTTTGACGTATTGATACATCAACTGATCTACGGCTGCTGTATAGTGGTACCAGTGAATCTTTGATTCCCACCGTCTGGTAACACGTGATCTGTTAACTTTGGATGGGCTCCTCGGCTCGATAACGATTTACTCATATGGTAGATCCAAAGGGGAAAGGAATCCTCTACGAGGATGACGATGAACCAATAAAATTAACGGAACAAGATGATGCCTTTGTTATCAAGGAGTTTTGAATGTCCTTAATTGGCAAGGTGCTTAACCCTAAGAAACAGAAGGTGGAAAAATTAGTTCAGACAATGCTTGCTCAGTGGGGACTCGAGGATCGGATCACGGCAAACAATATGTGGAATGGGAAGTTTCTGTTTAATTTCTTAACTGAAGAGGATCTGAACTCCGTGCTTCGGAAAGGCCCTTTCCGTTACAACTATTGCATGTTTGTATTGGTAAGATGGGAGCCAATTTTCCATGATGACTATCCTTGGATCATTCCCTTTTGGACTCGATTTATAGGGATGCCTCTACACTTGTGGACAGATCGAAATTTAAGGGATATTGGCGGAAGACTTGGTGAGGTTGACACTATCGATCTTTCAGAGGGAAGAGTACTCATTCACATCGATTCAAGGAGGCCACTAAAGTTTAACAGAAGAAACAAACTTATGATGTCACGAGAAGTAAAGACATGCAAAGTAAAGGAGTTGTTGGGCGTCGAAGAGATGATCATGAGGAAGATCAGGAAAATGTTCCATATGATCGAGTGCTAGCAAAACCTTTGGGATCAGGTACCTCTACACAACTAGAGGATGTGGCTAAGAAGAGCGGAGGAGAGAGGCAAAGATTAGCTAGTGCAATTGTCTCTCCAACCATGGAGAATAACGTTACCATACGTAACGTGAGTGTGGCGCGATCTCTTACCTTCTCGCCACAAATTTCAGACATAGGGGGACACGGTGAACATGTGATTGAAGCTTTGTCTGGTGTGGAGTTACACACAGCTGATGACAATGATATGATGATTGGTGATGATGATTTCTTTGATGAAGAACTGATGGAACTAGGCGACATTAATCATGGTAATGCTGTGGATAAATCATCAACAAAGAAGATAAGCATGAAGGAGACGAGACCATCCAGAGGGAGGATGAGTAGGAACCAATCTATGGGGGTGAAAATAAAGAAACATGAGACCCTCCATCGAGGTTCGCCAGGGCTGAGAGAAACGCTGAACTCAACAAATAACTTACATGAGGAGCAAGACAAGACAAGGAGGCTTCATGGTTCCAGAAAGATCCGCACACACTCTACAAACAAAGAAGGTTTGATGGGTTCCAATAATCCATCCCCCCATCATCAATGAGGACAATCATTTGGAACTGTCGAGGGCTAGGAAACAACCACACAGTTCGATGCCTTACGGAGATATGTCAGAAGCATCGCCCAGGACTTGTGTTTCTTTCTGAGACAAAGAATATGAGGCTGCTGTTGCAAGACATTCAGGCCGACTTAGGATTTGATCGTTTGTTTACCGTTAAGCCACTTGGACTCAGCAGAGGTTTAGCTTTGTTTTTTATGGATGATTTTCAAGTTAAGATTTTATTTTCAAATAACATAATGATTGACATTGAGGCAATCATTGATGGAATAAAAGTTTATATGACGTTCGTTTATGGAGATCCTGTATTAGAACATATAAAGTTAGTTTGGGAACGTCTTACGCGTTACTCAACAACAAGAAATGGACCATGGTTCATGATTGGTGACTTTAATGAGATTACATGCCACGAAGAGAAAGAAGGAGGTCGAGAACGATTTGACAGCTCTTTTTTGCCTTTCAGGAAAATGTTGAGTGATTGTGGGATGCTGGAATTCCCCTTTACAGTGAACAAGCTATCATGGGCTGGAAAAAGAGCAGGGAGAGTCACGGTTAGATGCCGTCTGGACAGAGTTGTTGGTAATGAGGACTGGCATGACAAACTCCCTCACTCGAAGGTTCAGTATATGAGGATGTGGAGATCGGATCATCGTCCGATCTTAGCTGATATTCTTAAAAAGCGGCCACGAAGATCGAATATTTTTAAATTTGATAAGCGATGGCTGAACAATGAGGAACTCAGGAAAGTAATCCTGGAGGGATGGAAATCACCGGACCTTCCACCAGAAGCTAGTATTATGGAGCATATTGCAAGTTGCAGGCGTGCTTTGAGTGATTGGAAGAGACAACACAATCTCAACTCTGAAAGAAGTGTGGAAGAGTTAAAGGAAAAAAGTAGATCAGTTATCTTCTAACGATGATGCAACTACTGAGGAGACTGCAGCGGCTTTAAAGGAGTTATCTGATGCTCTTAAGGCAGAAGAGATGTTCTGGAAGCAGAAGTGTAGGGTTTTTTGGCTACAAGAAGGAGACAGGAATACAAAATTTTTTCATGCTCTCACGAAGCAGAGAAGGACAAGGAACATGATTACACAGCTTTTGGATGAGAATGGGAATGTGGTACAAGATGAGGAGGGACTTGTAGCCATTGCTACAAATTATTTTAGACATATTTTTCAATCATCAAATCCCGAGGAAATAGAGGAAGCATTATCTGAGGTCTCTACAACCATTACACCAGTAGACAATGAAAATCTCACAGCACCGGTTACTGAATGGGAGATCAAAGTGGCGCTTTTTGCGATGCATCCAGAGAAAGCTCCAGGGCCAGATGGAATTATTGCGCTTTTTTACCAGAAATTTTGGGATATCGTAAAAGAGGATTTAACTCATATGGTTAATCAATTCCTATTTGAAAGAACGATACCCACTAGGTTAAATGAAACTAACATATGTCTTATTCTGAAAGTTTATAAGCCGAATCAGATTAGTCAGCTACGCCCTATCAGCTTATGTAATGTTAGTTATAAGATAATCTCGAAGGTCTTATGCTAGAGGTTAAAAAAAGTTACAAATCTAAGAAACCCAGTCAGCCTTTGTTGCGGGGAAGCAGATCTCTGATAACATTATGATTGCTCAGGAGATGTTCCATGCTTTAAGAACCAAACTCAGTGGATGTAATAAAAGGATGACCATTAAAACGGACATGAGCAAGGCGTATGATAGAATGGAGTGGTCCTTCATTGAGACCACCATGAGGAAGATGGGTTTTTCGGAAATCTAGATAACTTGGATAATGCGCTGCATAACATCAATGAAGTATAAGTTCCTTATGAATGGTCAGCCAAGAGGGAATATCGTTCCAGAGAGAAGTCTAAGATAGGGGGATCCTCTGTCCCCTTTCATTTTTATTCTGTGCACGGAAGCGCTCGTTAGCTTTCTAAATCACGCAGAGAATTAAGGGAAGATAACGGGGATTCCCATCACACGTGCGTGTCCTTCGGTATCTCACCTTCTTTTTGCTGATGATAGCCTGTTGTTTTGTAATGAGGAGCCCCGTGAATGTGAAGAAGTAATTAAAGTGGTCAGGAAATATGGAAAAGCCTCTGGTCAATGCATTAACTTTGAAAAATCTTTCTTACTCTTTAGTAAGAGGATTGGACAGGATGTTAGACAGGAAATTAAAGATACCCTTGGGATTCTAAATGAATGGGGAATGGGAACATATCTAGGAATCCCAGAGGATATCAGTGGGTCCAAATCCAAGCTCTTTGCAATTTTAAAGGATAAGTTACGGAATAGAGTTAATGGATGGACAGGTAGGTGTCTATCAAAAGGTGGCAAGGAGGTTATGATCAAGTCGATCCTACTAGCACTGCCAACTTATTTAATGTCCTGTTTTCTTCTGCCCTTGGAGATATGTGATGCCTTAGCTAGTGCCATTGCACAATTCTAGTGGAGCTCAAACCCCCCCCCCCAAAAAAAAAGAGGCATACACTTGTCCACATGGGAGAAATTATGCTTATCTAAAGAGGAAGGTGAGATTGGTTTCAGGATGATTCATGAATTTAACCTGGCATTGCTAGCAAAGGAGTTATGAAGGCTGGTCCAATACCCAGATTCACGGTTGCTCGTGTTCTGAGAGGTCGGTATTATCGATTAAGCTCGACGTTGCATCAGCTTACTGTTAGTAACCCATCATACGTGTGGACAAGTCTATTGGCGGCACGATAATTACTTTTACTGGGAGTTAGACAAAAAATTCATTCGGGATATGAGGTGAAAGTATGGGAGGATCCTTGGATTCCTACTATACCAACGAGTCCGGCGTCCCCATCGGCACCGGTGTTGTATCCAAACATGAGGGTAAGCGACCTTATTAATCAAGAGACTAAGACTTGTGATGCGACAAGACTGGAAAACTACGTAAATGCTGTTGATATACCTCACATAAAGAGTATGTCAATTAGTTCTACACATCGTAGGGACACATATTGATGGAGAGATATACAAGGAATGAACAATATACAGTCAAATCTAGATATTTGGTTGCACGGAATATTTTAAAGCAGGAAGAGGTGCCTGTAGTTAGTAAACCTAGTATCACTAAACTACAAGCACAAGCTTGGAAGGTGCGAGCTCCCCAAAAGATGTGCCATCTTATGTGGCAACTAATAACATGTCATGTGGCTGTTACGAGTACCTTAAACTATAGACATATAATGTGTGACAATTACTGCCCACGATGTGGAGAACCTAAAGAATCAATTACACATGCAAGTTTGGGCCTTATCGTCGATGCCTACTAATCCTAAGTTGTTCCCACTTCAGAACACATATGCGAACATGGATTATCTCTTTTGGAGGAAGAACACCATAGCAGAATCGGACTTAGACATGGATCCTTATTCTTGCTTATATGGTATATTTGGAAGGCGCATAATGACAAATTGTTCAAAGGGATTGATAGAGATCCATTGGAGCTAGCCCGATATGCTGAGAGTGAATGTCAAGCCTGGGTCCAAGCCAATGAACAGATTTCTTTGTCCTCTCAGGGAAACATGGATGCTGACAGCCAGGCTATAAGTCTGGAGAATATTTGTATGGTGAATGGTTCTTGGACATCGACAGCTCAGTTTAGTGGATGTGGATGGGTCTGGAATGATAATATGGGAAATAGTCAGTTGATAGGAATGCGTAATTTTGATATAGTGGAGTCTGCTTTGTACTCTGAGCTGGAAGCACTGTGGTGGGCAATGGAGAACATGCTTCAACATTCGCCATGCCAGAGCTTTGGGACGGACTGCACGGAAATGATAACAATGCTCAAGAGTCCACAGGATTGGCCAAGTTTCTCAACAGAACTGGAAAAGTTCACGACGTTGCGGATTTACTTTCCAGATTTTAAGATTTTCTACGTTCCTAGGTCACATAACGGATTTTTCGATTCCCTAGCTAAGACTGTTCGATTTTTCTATCGAAAATTAGTGTATGTTGGTTGTTCTATTCCGATCCAGATTCCTAACACACCTCAAACTTGAGTAATATATAAGCCATTCGTTGTCAAAAAAAAAAAATATTATCATAGGTCTAAATTTTTGGGGTATGGTCCGTTTTGGTTGATTGAGACGGATTTTCAAATTTTGGTATTTTCAAATAGGGGATTGAACAACAAAATAAATTGGTTTGAGCTGACCGGGTTTGTATAAAGGGCACTTGTATTTGTGTATACACGGCCGCAGCCTCTTAATTTGCAATTTCTCAAAACCTAATTACAAAAGACGACTCAGTATGGCGAAACTCAAGGTTGCTGGGACATGGGGTGGCATCTTAGAGGTGGAACTCGAGAACTGGACTCTACCCATGTTGAGAGACGAAGTAGCTAAGCGATCGGGGCTCGATCCTGAATCAATCAAACTAATTTGCGCCGGAAAAATCCTGAAAGACGACGGCGATGATAGTAAGACGCTTGCCCAGTTGGGAATTAAGGAAAATTCGAAGATCCTCTCTAGTCGAGGTGCAGCACCAGAAGAAGGCAAGTCGATCATGGCTGAGGAAGAAAGGTCAAGACGTCTCTTCCGTGTCAAGTAAGTCCAAATCTGCGAGTTTTGATCGTATGGATTCAGTTTCATGATCATATCTGAATCTTCTTATTGTGTGATTGGATAGAATTGTTTTAGGGTTTTCACAAAATCTGAACATGATTGGTGTCTGTCTATGTTAATCATGCAGAGCTGCAGCTACAGCGTTGTCAAAGAGACACGCTGATGGTTCGTTG